CTCCTTGGAAGGAAAGCTATGACCAACCTAGACAGCATATTAAAAAGCAGAGACATTACTTTGCCAACAAAGGTCCGTCTAGTCCAGACTATGGTTTTTCTGGTGGTCATGTATGAATGTGAGAGTTGGACTATAAGAAAGCTGAGCACTGAAGAATTGATGATTTTGAACTGAGGTGTTGGAGAAGACTCTTGAGAGTCCCTTGGACTGCAAGGAGACCCAACCAGTCCATCCTAAAGGAGATCAGTCCTGGGTGTTCATTGGAAGTACAGATGCTGAACCAAAAACTCCAATCTTTTGGCCACCTGATTCGAAGAACTGATTCACTTGAAAAGACCCTGATGCTGGGAAAGATTGAAGGTGGGAGGAGAAGGGGACAACAGAGGAGGAGATGGCTGGACGGTATCACCGACTCAATGGACATAGTTTGAGTAAACTCCAGGAGTTGATGATGGACAGGGAGTCCTGGCGTGCTGCAGTCCTTGGGGTCACAAATAGTCAGACACGACTGAGCGACTGAACTGCACTGAACTGACGCTGTGCCTCAGGCAGATCATAGTTCCCCGACCAGAGATCAGACCTGTGCCCCCTGCAGCGGAAGCACGGAGTCTCAGCCACTGCACTGCCAGAGAAGTCCTGAAAATCTCTAAATTTCTGTTTGCTGCCCCTACCCCTTTCCTCGGGTAGAACGTCGCTGCTGATCACAGCGAAAGACACCCACGTGTTCACACGCACACGACACACACCGCTTGCCGAGCGCTCTACTCTCTGTCAGACTCGACACCCTGGTCCGCCGGCGTCTCTGTTAGAGTCTGGGCTTCTACCCAGTGATGAGCCAGGGATGACTGTCTTCCGCTCCACCAGTGGGAAGAAATTCTGCGGATAGCACTGGCCCCAGAGAGAAAGCAGCTGCATTGCCATTGAACGTTACTAATCCATCAAGTTGAAGAGAACTGAGCTTATTAATGTCCCAAAATGTGTTAATCTTAGCGTTTAGATTACCTTTCTCAAGCTTAGAAAAGCAGTTCTGCTTGTAATTATCTTCTCATAAAATGTAATCATAAATGACACCCTAGCTCTGAAATAAACCAGAGGAAACCAGAATATTTTATGTGAAATTTAACATTCTACTGTGCTTTTTTTTCACAACGTACAAGCTCAAATAATATGTCAGAGATTAACTTGGCCATTCTTTCATTTAGGCTTCACACAGCAGATTTTACATTATTTAAAAAGCTTTATATAAAAGTCATTCAAACGTGAATAATTGAAATTACTTTTAATGATTGTCCCATTAGAGACCCAACTTACACAGATCTCAGACTGACCTAGTTTTTTTTTTTTCCTTCCTTTCATCAGCTTATTTTGTTGGTGAATTTAAACAGATTCGTCTCTAATTAGATACGTACTTTTCAAACAAAATTGGAAAACAGCTCCCTTTAACATTTGTTCTTTGCGTCTGTCATCCCCGAAACACAGCGACTTGCCTGCTCCGTGTGTACACGGGTTTTCTCTCCTCATCCCTGTCAGTTACGCTGCCGGGAAGCTCTTGATGTCTCTAACCTTTCGTTGTGAAGAACACACATCTAATTACAAGGAAAATGACTATGATGTAATAGGGCAAAGCATGCATGCCTATCGCCTGGGAGGGGCTCCACAGAGGAGCCGGAAGGAGGGTCCATCCCCATGGCCGAACCACACCATTCACGGGGTCCCAGACACAGGACTGCCGCTGAGTCTACCCCGCTGGGATGAGCAGTATTCATTCATTAAAAAGGAAGCCAATTATAAAGGATGCGAACTTGCCCTAAAAATGTACAAGTATAAATATCCATCCAATCACCAATCTCAATATAGAGTCAAAGACATTTCCCTGGACAAGAATTTCCTCATTGAAGAAAACCAGCATCTGTGATCTCTAGCTTGTTTTTGAAAAGTCTTCAGTTCAGTTCAGCCGCTCAGTCGTGTCCGACTCTTTGTGACCCCATGGACTGCAGCACACCAGGCCTCCCTGTCCATCATCAACTCCCAGAGCTTGCTGAGACGCCTGTCCATTGAGTTGCTGATGCCATCCAACCATCTCATCCTCTGTTGTCCCCTTCTCCTCCTGCCTTCAATCATTCCCAGCATCCTTTCAAATGAGTCAGTTCTTCACATCAGGTGGCCAAAGTACTGCACTCCAAGCCACTCTCAAGAGTCTTCTCCAACACTGCAGTTCAAAAGCATCAATTCTTCAGAGTTCAGGTTTCTTTATAGTCCAACTCTCATATCCATACATGACCAATGGAAAAACCATAGCTTTGACTAGACAGACCTTTGTAGGCAAAGTAATGTTTCTGCTTTTTAATTTGCTGTCTAGGATTGTCATACCTTTCCTTCCAAGGAGCAAGAGTCTTTTAATTTCATGGCTGCAATCACCTTCTGCAATGATTTGGGAGCCCAAAAAAATAAGGTCTGTCACTGTTTCCATTGTTTCCCCATCTATTTGCCATAAAGTGATGGGACCAGATGCCATGATCTTAATTTTCTGAATGTTGAGTTTTAAGCCAACTTTTTCACTCTCCTCTTTCACTTTCATCAAGAGTCTAGTGATTTGCTAAGAAAATTTATGAAGCAATCTGTCATTACCAAGTAGAATTTTTTTTTAATTTGTAGAGTTTTATGACAGAATATTTAAATGATGTCTTGATAAAATCATTACAAAGCATAAAACTTATGTTTCACACACAAGAATAAAACTCTTCATACTTATTCATATCAATATTTTGTATCATGCATATACTGATACTGAATATTCACTTAGATGATAGTTCACTGAATGTACAACTTAACAGGGATAACTGGGGCCTGGAGAAGGAAATGGCAACCCACCCCAGTACTCTTGCCTGGGAAATCCCATGGACAGAGGAGCCTGACAGGCTACAGTTCGTGGGGTCGCAAAGCGTCGGACACGACTGAGTTATTGAGCATGCAGCCGAGGCCAGGGAGAACCACAGCTGATGCCTGGTGAGTGTGAATACCACGTCTGGGGCGGGTCGGCGGTCTGAGGGCAGTCCTGGGACCTGCAGGTGCGTATGTGGGAGTGACGAGGCACTGGGCCGTTGCAGAACGGCTAAGAGGCACAGTCAGGAAATTCCCGGGTGAGGCCCCTGGCTGGACTCAGCTGCCGAGCGTGCGCGTCTGTCACGTTCCGGCTGCAGACAGGCAGTGGGAGCGGAGTGAGGCATTGGTCACTCAGTCGTGTCCGACTCTTTGTGACCCCGTGGACTGTAGCCCACCGAGCTCCTCTGTCCATGGGCTTCTCCAGGCAGGAACAGTGGAGTGGGCTGCCGCTTCCTTCTCCAGTGCGTCTTCCTGACCCGGGGATCGGACCCAGCTGTCCTGCGCCGCAGCAGATTCCCTACCAGCTGAGCCACCAGGGGAGCAGGGCAAGCAGGCGTCCCCAGTCCGCCAGGCCAGCTCTCCCGCATGGGCTCCAAACACGCTTTCCTGCCGGGTCCTGCCTGGCTTCAGGACCCAGCAGGGAACTCCCAACGGCTCACGCAGAGTCAAAGCAGAGCCAGGATTTGGAGAGTTCCGCTTGGGGGCCACGGGACAGGAGCCTCTGGAGGGTGGACGTGCCTCCTGGATGGGCCGCTCCTGCCTGGCCACCTTCTGCTGGCCCTTCACAGACTCCCCTTCAGGTGCGGTGCCTCCGCCAGCAGGACTGGAAACGGTGGCGCAGAAGGAGCGGGAACCTTCACATTATCCAGGACCTCATGCTCTCAGCCTCTGATACTCAGCAGCGAGGCGCTAACAGGAAGCTGTGCAACCAGGGAGGGCATCCCCCACGCGGTCCCTCCCTGACATCCCATCGCAGGGGGAAGAAGGCGACATCTCCGTGTGGGCCATGGGCTGAGCCCAGACCATCCTTACAGAGGTGGAAGGGGGCTTCTCCGTTCTCTCAGGGAGCGACGAGTCTGGGGGAAAGAACCTCCCCTCTTTCTGCTTCCGGTGTCTGTCAGTCCTCTCCACTGGCTTCTGACAAGCTCAGAGGGGCCTGGAGCCTCTGGCCTCAACTGCTTATTATTTACTTAGAGCATCACAGTAGGTCAGAGTTCAAGCAGCAGATACCTCAACGGTGTATCAAGAATTTCTAAAGACTTACCGCAAAATACCCTTTGCAAAAGAACTGCACCCGTGCAGACTTGGGGCGAAAGGAAACGGCCCTCGCTCTGATGGTGATGAACTGGGGGGGACCCCCGTTGCCAATGGCAACACCGCACATGGTGTTCCCACACTGCTAAACCAGGTGGCACGTCTTCTGGAGACCAGGGCTCACCACGAGGTTCACAAAGTTCTCCTCCTCCCCCTGCCCCAGGGCCAGTATCTGCCTGAGTCAGCCCATGCCAATGAGCAGAAGACGCGCCGGAATGACCCGGGCTCCTAGCATCCTGGGCTGACACGCGTGTGGCTGCAGAGACTCAGGTCCCCTGCGCAGGAGGCCTGTGACTCGACTGCGCTCTATTTGTTCAGTGGCTGCCACTTCCAGCCTGGTTTCACTGTTGCCCTCCACAGTTCAGTTCAGTTCAGTTCAGTTCAGTCGCTCAGTCGTGTCCGACTCTTTGTGACCCCATGGATTGCCGCACGCTAGGCTTCCCTGTCCATCACCAACTCCCGGAGCTTGCTCACCCTCATGTCGATCTAATTGGTGACGTCATTCTCTGTCATCCCCTTCTCCTCCTGTCCTCAATCTTTCCCAGCATCAGGATCTTTTCAAATGCATCAGTTCTTCACCTCAGGTGGCCAAAGGGTTGGAGCTTCAGCTTCAGCATCAGTCCTTCCAATGAATATTCAGGACTGATCTCCTTTAGGATGGACTGGTTGGATCTCTTTGCCCTCCACAAGCGATGCAGTAGTCACCTTGAAAACAGATCACAGGCAAGTTTATGTTTCTTCCACCTATTCCTCTAGGAATAGGCACCTACCTATTCCTCTAGGCGGTCATGTGCAAGGTAAACTCAGGACCAGTCCAAAGACAGCGCCTGACAACGAAACCTGGATGCTCCGTGTGGCAGTGACGCAGGCTCGGGTCCCGAGCTGCACGGATGCTCCTGGATTCCACACCACCGCCCCTCGTGGGGGGGGTCCGTGCTCTGCCGGTTCCCTTGCTCGAGGAACAGCCTGACGGTGAAAGCAGGCTGTGCACCGGTGAGGATTTGCAGCCAGCGGCCCAGGAAATGGCCGCCCCCATCTGTGGGGTTTGTCTGTTCCTATCAGCTATGTCTTTCCATCCCAGACAATGTGAAGCTTCTCTGTGAGGCCACCAGTTGTGACAATGAGAAGTGATGGGGACCGTCGGCCGCAGCCACCACTGAGAGACACTTAGGGACTCAGTACGTGCAGGCTGTCACCTTGATCAAGCTGAGCCTGAAGGCAAACCAAGCAGATCCCTGGTGGAGTCCAGCCCTCAGGCGGCCTGGTGGGCATGGGTGTACTGTTTCCTGGCTGAAGCCTTAAAAAATGCAAAAGCCTGAGAAGGTGGCTGGGCCATTGGAATTCCACCAGTTAGTTTTGAAACACTTAAGACTTTGTTTTGATTTTTCCTAAGAACAACACCACTCTTTTCCATTCGGTTGCAGGGACCCCAGCACACGGCAGGAGTGGGCACCTGAAGAAGTCCTCTGCCTTCTTCACAGGTGTCTGCTTATTTCAGGGCCCAGAGGCCTGGGCTTCCCCTCTCAGCCCATCTCCCCCGTCGCAGTTTTCTGGTTCCTGTCCTGACTGTCTCTTCTCCGGCAGGAAGAGAGTTGAGCTAAGATCTGCAATGACTCAACTTTATTTGCCTTTTTTGGAGCCAGGCTTGCAATGCTCTCATTCCCCCCAGATCTCCCTTTTCTGGGAGTCGCACCTGCATGGCTGAGCACCCTGCAGGAGCATATGAACCAAACCCCAGGGATTCCACTCCCTTGACCTTCAGCAGACCTTGTCCCTGATGCCCCACCAGGGAGTCCCAGGGGGACGGGCAGGTCCCAGCTGCAGGCACCGCCCTGTGGGTTCAGGGGGGCTGGCAAGGTGGCCACAGTGGACCTGCACCCACCCGGGATCCAGGGCAGCAGGGGCTGTGGTGGCTTCATGCGATGGTGGGTTCCCAGCATCTGAAGGAAGGTTCCTCCGCATCCACCAGCTGTTCCAGCTCTCAGCCATAGAGAAAGGGATGCTGGGCCAGCCGTGCAGGAGCTGGCTTCCTCCTGAGGAGCAGTCAGCAGGTCAGTCTGCTCATTTAAAATTGCCCGTGTCCTCTGTTCCCACGCAAGCATCTTCTGGTGGAGGGGTTGAAATGTGCCTGGTTATCCCCATCGGGGCCGGCGGCCTGCTGGGCCCTTGGTTTCTCCTCCTGTTACTGAGGCTGACCCGCTCCTTCCTGATGGTGGAGAAGTACAGACTGGTGCAGACCGCAGAAAGCTGTCTCCTCCCACCCAGCTCCTGCCCATCCAGTGAACTCACACGTGTCCCACATGAGCCAAGGCTGCAGGAGGTGACGGACGCCGAATCTGGAATCCCCAGGGTGAATCCTCGGGGGCCACGGACTGCCTCCCCTGTGGCGGGCGTCTGCTCTGTGCTCGGTGCCCGCAGTGGTGGGCCTTTGAGAACACAGGCCATTGGGAGCCACGGCCGTCCACAGCAGAACACAGGTCAGATGCCATGGATCACTTGGGGTCCTGGGCTTGCCGGAGGTTCTGAAATGAGATGCACCCTGAGCTCAGCAGGATGGCAGGCCCCCTCCTGGGAGGGCCAGGCTGTGAAGACGCCATGAGGAAGCCAGTGTGTATGTGTACACACACACACACTCACACACACAGACACACACACACGCGCGCCGGAATATTACTCGGCCACAACAAAGGATGAAATGATGCCATTTGCAGCGACATGGATGGACGCAGAGGTCCTGACATGAAATGAAATGTCAGAATGAGAAATGCCATATGATATCACTCATATGTGGAATCGAAAATATGCCACAAATGAACTCATTTACAAAACAGAAATAGACTCACAAACATTGAAAATAAACTTATGGTTACCCGAGGGTGGGGAGGGAAAGGGAAAACTCAAGCGTATGAGATTAGCAGATATAAAGGACCATATATAAAATAGATAATCAACAAGGACCTACTGCATAGCACAGGAAACCATATTCAACATTTTATAATAAACAGTAATGGAAAAGAATCTGGAAAAGGGTATACATTTATGCTCTAAGTCACCTCAGTCGTGTCCAACTCTTTGTGACCTTGGACTGTAGCCCACCAGGCTCCTCTGTCCATGGGATTCTCCAGGCAAGAACACTGGAGTGGGTGGCCACGCCCTCCTCCAGGGGATCTTCCCCACCCAGGGATCAACCCAAGTCTCTTATGTCTCCTGCATTGGCAGGCAGGTTCTTTACCACCAGCGCCACCTGGGAAGTGCTATCCATATATATATAAATGAATCACTTTAATGTACCCCTGAATCACTATAAACACCCATTAATATACTTCACTTTAAAAAAGAAACTGGAGCCCATTATACAGAGCGAAGTAAGCCAGAAAGATAAAGACCATTACAGTATACTAACACATATATATGGAATTTAGAAAGATGGTAACGATAACCCTATGTGCAAAACAGAAAAAGAGACTCCTATGTATAGAACAGACTTGTGGACTCTGGGAGAAGGCGAGGGTGGGATGTTTCAAGAGAACAGCATTGAAACACGTATATTATCTAGGGTGAAACAGTTCACCAGCCCAGGTTGGGTGCATGAGACAAGTGCTCGGGCCTGGTGCACTGGGAAGACCCAGAGGGATTGGGTGGAGAGGGAGGTGGGAGGGGGGACCGGGATGGGGAATACATGTAAAAAAAAAAAAAAAAAAAGATACACTATGGTTGTGATAAAAAAAAATAAATAAATAAATTTAAAAAAAAAGGAAAAAGAGAAAAAAAATTAAAAAAATTGTTTTAATTTTAAACACAAGAAAATGTTGACATGACAACAGAAGACCCAGGAAAACGGCATGGTCACCACTCCCTTGTCTGTATGCTGCAGGGGGTGGGCGGGGCTGCAGCAGACAGGCTCCGCCTCAAGCCCAGGACTGCACTGAAGGACCCCCCAAGATGGGAGACATTCCTGCAAGTGACCCATCCGTGCTTTGAAGAGGGCTCCCTGGTATATTTGTGAGTTCACGGTGACAGGCAAGGAAATGGGTAGCTTTCCTTCAAAAATGCTGCAGCAGCTGAGAAGAGCTGTGCCTCAGGCATCACTCGGACTGTGGGCATTGCTCTCCCAGCGGCTTCGGAAATCCCATTGACTTGATTCAGACAATGCACTTTATAAGTTCTATGTATGATGTTGCAACCCACTCATTCAACTGTATCTCGATGTGCAATGAGTTTCAGTAAGAGTTGTGAACTTTAGGTATAGGCGACTCAACCCGGTGTTAGGTAGACTTGGCTTTAAAAATCATTACACACAAGGGACTTTGGTTTTAAATTCCCATCCAGGGGTGTTGGACATTGACTAATTCTCCCATCACTTTTTGTAAATGGATAGGATGCTGCCGTACATAATAAGCAATCGGTATCCCATGACAGAACCATCTAAAAACAGCCTCGCTCAAGTGATCCCAGCTTACATAAACCAGAGAGATGGTTTTCCCATCCAACTCAGATTTAAATTGACTGCTTTGTTTAGCACTAAATAAAATGCGGCTTTGTTAACTATCACCTCATCCTCTGGTCCAGGGAGACCCAGCCAATTGCTTCTTAAAACCACGAATAGACAAAGTAAAAATCCATAGCTACATTAGTTGCAGGTTACCGGTCAATAAGTGTTCATTAACTAGTGCATTGCTTCTATTCAGGGTACAGTGTCATTTGTTTTCTATTTTTATTAGCTTTGATCATACAATAAGGCTTCTTTTTTTTTTTCCTGAAGCAGTAAATCTGCATCAATACAAGTAAATCTCTGCCTAACGTGAGGCGTTGCATCTTTATTAGCACCAGGAGCAGTCCTGCATACAAACTCCCTCCCTCTCCCTCACTCTGTCTCTGTTGCAGAGAACGTCTCAGCAGAAGCGGAAACCCTGAATGCTGAGGAGGAAAATAGGAGCCAGCGGATGGCAAAGCCAGTTAAGACCGGGCTCCGTCAGAGGTGTTGCCCATGATGCTGGGGGTCCCTCGAGCTGGGGGTCCCTCAAGCACCCCTCTGATCCTCATCCAACCCCAGGGGTGGTCAGCACTTGAGGGTCACTGCTGATCGCTGGTCCCTTCTTCCTCTGTGACTCCCAGTCCCGTTGCTCAGCATAGTGAACTCAGGCACCTTCTGGCCCCAGATCCATAGCAGTATCTCCCCAGGTCTCTCAGAGTCTGTAGAACGAGACCACGGATACTCCTGTGGCCTGTGATTCAACAAACCAGAAAGATTAAACAAGATCAGGACTGTGAGATCCCCATCAACCTGTATCCATTCATGGTTTTGTCTCCACCCACCACTCTCGCTACCGTGTAGACCTCAGTTGTGTTTTTAAGATGAGATATTGTCTCTCAGGATTCCTTGGTGGCTCAGAGGAATCTGTTTGCAGTTCGGGAGACCCAGGTTCAGTCCCAGGTCAGGAAGATCCCCTGGAGAAGGGCTTGGCAACCTACTCCAGAATTCCTACCTGGAGAATCCCCTGGACGAGGAGTCTGGTGGGCTACGGTCCAAAGAGTCACAAAGAGTCAGGGCTGAAGAGACTGAACACACACACACACACACACACACACACACACACACACACACACACACACAGTGTCACTTCATTGCATTAGTGTATTTAAAAGAAAGACTCATATTTTATGGGGTGGGGGGGGACTTCCCCTACCAAAACACTAGTAAATCACATGAAAGAAATAAACATTTAATTTTTGACCTTTTTGCCAAAATAATAAACAAGTCATTGGCTGTTTCTCTGGGTAATGCAATCCTTAAAATATTCTTTTGAAAACCAGGTCTCCTCCCAGAAGAGGAGCAAGAGTGTAGATGGCCCTCTGCATCTGAGAACAATCTGCCTCATTCATTCAAGAAATGCATACACAGTTGTTTGCATTGTTCTATTGCTGATTTAGAGCAAGTTCTTGATGTTTCTTTGGGGGAAAAGAACTTTCAACTTCTAGGGGAACCTCTTAGAGCTCATGCAAAGCCAGGCTGAAGAGTGTAAGCATTTCCATTTTGTTAAATCCAAAGCAGAGATGGTTAAGGGCCTCCCAGCTGCTCCTGGAGGAGCTCCTGCATGGCCTAGAATTTGGGGAAATGCCTCCTGAAACCAAGCTCCCCAGAATCAAGCTTCCCTGCCAAGTCTATGCTCAACTTCTCTATCCAAAACTTTCTTGTCCCACCCTGTTCCCCTAAGGATTGAAGAAAGTCAAAGAAAAGGTGGACTGAAACCTGCACTTTCCAGAGCAGGATACTCGGGCCCATCTGGGTACAAGCCACTCTGTCTCCCCCGCTGCGTCTGGTCTCCCCTGTGTTCCAAAAGGCAGGCTCAGGCAGTTAATGATGAGGTCACCAGAGGCCCAGGACGCTTAGTTCCTCCTGAAGGGATATGCATTACAACCTGGTTCACATCTTTGAGTTGTTCCATAGAAGCTAAGAACGCCCACCCAGAGGAGGATGGTCACCTCCTGCTGACCACAAGCACATGCATCTCAGACTGGTTGGAACCAGAAGGTGGATGATGCTGACTCCTGAAGCAGCCCCCTATGACCTCACCACGCACCAGTCAAAAGGATGTCCAGGAGCTGGCCAGGCACCCTGCAAGCCTCGCCCCTAATGTGGCCTTCAAAAACCCTTCCCTGGACACCATCAGTGAATTCTGGTCTTTCGAGCATGAGAGCTGCCTGGTGCCCTGCAACTAACACTGTACTTGCCTTCACCACAACTTGGTGCTGATAGACTGGCTTTGCCGCCTGTTCTCCTCGCCTGGTGCCCTGCAGTAAGCACTGTACTTTTTCTCACCGCAGCTTGGTGTTGATAGATCGGCTTTGCTGTGTATCAGGGGAGTGGACCAGAGTTTGGTTCCATAACACCTTTTATGCACAAAGCACTTGGTTGTGGATGAATTGAGCCCTGAGCCCAGATACAGGGGAGTGTGGTTACAATGCTTTCTCATCTTTTCTGAGCATTCACCTGCACTTTCCAGAAGTTTTTTCTCATTTCACCTTTGAAAATTCTGCATTTCCCATCAGCTTCCTTCACCATTGTCCATGACCTCTTTTCAGTAATTTTTTAGAGGAGAATAGAACCCTGATATGTTCTGCTCACCAGACAGGTGGTGGCAACTCCACTCACACAACTCACGTGGGTGACAGGGCAGGGGGCAAGGAAACTGGCAGAGAAGAGCCCCCATCTGACCATGTCCACACCCCATGGAGGTCGAGGGTGTTTAACCCCACAGAAGAGCCGCTCTCTGGCAATGGTGACTTTATTCTTAATTTTGCCCAATGCTGTTAAGTTATAAGATAATTTGGAAAGGCCAGGAAAAAGAGAAAAAGATCCATTTTTGTTGTTGTTGTTACAATAAGCTTCCTGACTTGGATATTTTTTATCCGCTCCTGACTGTGGAGCTAAACGATCTGTGCACGGATCAAGATCCAGGCACCCCCTGGCTCCCCCAAGGAAACAGCCTCAGGCTGCCCAGGAGGAAGGCCCTGAGGGTTCCCAGAGCCTGTTTCCACCACGGACCCTCACAACCTGGGGGCAGTTTCTTAACACGCAGGTAGTGGATCAAGGCATCGGTGAGGTCGAGCAACTTGGCTGCAGTGGCCACCTGCAGGTCCAGCTGTCCACCCTGAGTCCAGGGGTGCCCGGAACCCCGAGCCCCCAGCGTAGAAGCTGAATGTGCTGCCCGACCGTCCGGCTCCCCCTCCACGGCTATGAAAGCCTGGACGTCCCCAGGTCAGTCCCCTGTGGCCGTCCTGGCCCCTCCCTGTTTGAGTGGATTCCCCATCCTCAGTGCCAGCCCATCCTTTGCTTTTCCCCATGACACAATGTCCGCTCACCCCCATGGCCCCCCTGGCCCCCGTGAGGCCCCCCTGTCCCACACATCCACTGCCAGCCCTGGCCGTCAAGCTCACCAGGGCCCCTCCCCACTCTGCATCCCGACGAGACCTGCAGATGGAGCTGACACTGAGGCGCCTCGGTGTGGGCCTCTGGGCACTGCGCCGTTCCTGGGCCACAGGGATACCAGGATGTTGGCGGCATGGTCCACGGCGACACAGAACAGAGGCTGGCTCACTGCCACAGCACCTTCAGTTACGGGGCCCGTGCTTTCTGCAGCATACCCAGGGGCCGCGTCCCCCCAGAGGGGTCAGCAGCTTCACTCGTCGCTGCTCCTGCTGCTGCCAGGTTGGAAACTTCGAGACCAACAGGTTAAACTGGCCTCTTAACTGACGGGCTTTTTAGCACTTTCCAACTTCAATGCTTGTGAGGATGTCCACGGGATGCAGGACACAGCAGACCCCCACCCATCAGGGACACAGAGCCTTTTCTCCCAGGAAAGCCCAGGGGATGGAAGACCTTCACCTTCCCAAGGACTTTGTCCTACCTCAGCCGATCTCACTCACTACAAACCCCCATCTGATACAATCTCCAGGCACGTGACCCTCGTTTATGGCTTGCCGTGGGCATCAGCCTGGGTGGCACTTTCTGCTCTTCAAACCTGGGCTTGAGCGGACTCGGAGGGTCAGTCTGGTCCAGGTGGGAAAGCACAGTGGCAGCCATGGGACAGGAGCCGATGGAGGGCCTGGCCCAGCAGGGCTCCCAGTGCCCTACCACCCCTGAATTTTCCCAGGCCGATCCCACCCCGCCCCGAGCCTCCCACCCTGGCCAGCCCCTTCCCCGAATGGGATGGCCGCCTGCAGTGACCTCTTGCCAGCTGGACTGCAATTTGCCCTGACATTGCACCACTCCACCTTGTTTCACAGTTTCCATTCATCCCCCAGCTGGACACCAGCCAGACCCTCTGAGAGACCAGACGGGGAAGGGGGAGGGTGGGCCACTCGGACTGTGTGCTGGGGGACGGAGAGCCAGCCTTCGAGCCTCCTCTTCTCAGCTGCACACGGTCCAGTAGGTTCCCGGGGTCTCTGCAGACTGGGCCTCACACACGTGCAGTGGCCCCGGCAAGCGTGCCCTTCCCTGGCTCCGGGGTGCGGTGCTGCGAGCCCCGTGTTCCTGAGGGGTTGAGGGCCAGCGGCACACGGGCTCACCCCTTCCCGAGGGACCCAGCTCCTGCACATCCCAGGTCTTGGCCCTAAAGCAGGGTTGCTCCCCATGCTGATCTGACAGGCATCTCGGCGCCCATCAGGGTCCCACCTGCTGTCCAGGGACCTGACTTTAGACCCAGCCATCCATTTGAAATTTACACCCGCAAGGCAGGGCATCCCGTGTGTTTTCCACGTGCTGTAACCTGCTGCCCCACCCAGTGGATCGCTTACCATCCGGTGGGCTCTCGTCTGGGCCCCACAGGAGGGAGCGTTCACTGTTCTGTGTCTATATGACTGCATTACATGCCATGAACCAACTCTCGGTAGTCAGTTAGAAAAGGATAAATCAACGGAGACCTGTGCTTTGAAATCTCACTTAACTTTTGATAAGCTAAAACTTCCTAAAACCCAACAGTGTGCCACATGGAGTTCAAGTTAAGACAGAAAATCTCTGCATCTTCCCACTTCCAAAAGCCTTGCTCTCATTGACCTTGAGGGCTGGCAATCTGGAGGCAAAGCCATGTCCCCGCCAGCTCACCCCGCGGACAGGCAAGGCCACCTTCCCCACAGAGACGCAAGAACACAGGGAGCCCATCCCGGCCAGCGCGCGCTGGGGGGACAGCAGGCTGCCCGGGCTCCTCCGGGGAGAGCAAACTGACTGGAGACACGGCTCCGAGCGCCCGCAGCGCCCAGGCCGCCTCCTCCTGGGCACTGGCCGTTCCCAGGGCCAGTGAGTCTTGATTAATGGCCGGCTGAGAGAGGCACCCCTGCTGCCTGCGCTCGCCTCCTGGGGCCTCTGGAGCCTCTGTGCCCCGTTGCCCTCCTTCCCTGCCTGGGAGCCTCCCGGCTCAGGTCAGAGCAAAAGCAGGCTTGGCCGAGCCCGGCAGAGCGAGGGCTGACCGCTGGGAGAACCATCAACCGCACCGGGAGACGATCAACTGAGCAGTAAATTAATTAATCATCATTTTATGCCTCATCAAGCACTTTGCTGAAGCTCTCAACAGGGGCCTCTCGAGGAGCCAATGGGAAGCTGACTGTTTTGTTTAGCTGGGTGAGACTTCCATAAACAGGGGAGGTTTTGACAAGCTAATAAATATGTCGTTCGTCTCTGCCACGGGCAGCAGCCGGCCCCACCTGCAAAGTGGTGGGGTTCTGCCTGGCCTGGCGGGCAGTGAGTGATGGCAGAGCCATGCCTAGGGAGGTGGCAATCAGAGGCTCGGGGAGGGGGAGCCCCAGAAGTTCCTGCGAGCTCTGTGGGAGGAGGGCCGCCCCCACCCCTGGCCCCACCCTGCCCTCACGGGTCCCACTAAGTGGGCCGTCGTCTGGACTCTCGCCCTTGTGGCCTTTGCTGACATCACACGGGCTGCAGGGACCTCTTCCCCAGAGGTTTTCTGATACAGGCACCAGTTCACACCTATGGATGCCCAAGCGAGACCCTCCAGAAACTCATCTACTGGTTCTAGTGCTCACACGCAGTTTCGGGAGTTCTGTAACCCACTGATAATTCTCATCAACTTTAATGTACATCATGCAGCTTCTTAGGAAGAAGGTTCTCGCTAACCTCAGTTCATCTCTATTGAAAAAAGTCCAGTAATGCAGAGCCATTGTTTTCTAGGAGACTAGAGTTGTTTTCAGTTGACTTTATTGCATCCTGTTAATCTCAGGTGTGTAGCATAGACATTCACTTACACATGAATGTATATGAATATATATTCTTTTTCAGATTCCTTTCCCCTTACAGGTTGTTACAAAATATTGTGTATTTTACAATACTGTGCTATACAGTATGTCTTTGTTGGTTATCTATTTTATATATAACAGTGCGCATCTGTTAATACAAACCTGGGTAAGGGGAGAGAAACTAGGTTTTTTGAAGCTAAAGCAGTGTTGAAATTTGGGTGATGATTCTGATGACCTAGCAAATGCTTTCCTTTAGATTTTAAATCCAATACAAAAGCTGAGGGAGGCTGTTAGAGCATTAAAGAAATATAAATGCCAGAAAGATACAAATGCAAACAGCTCACAGATCTCCAATTTGCCAGTAAATTTTAATCCACCTTCTATGAGAATTTCAAACGCCCTCTGATATCATTTGAAGAACACTCATGTCAGATGCGGCTTCCCAGGCGGTGTAGTGGTAAGGAATCCACCTGCCAATACAAGAGACTGCAAGAGATGCAGGTTCGACCCCTTGGGTCAGGAAGAGCCCCTGGAGAAGGGAATGGCAACCCACTCCAGTATTCACGGACAGAGGAACCTGGCGGCTGCAGCCTGTGGGGTCAGGTAGACTGGGACACAGCTGAGCATCACTCATGTCAGCTGAAGGTAGAGTTTCTAAGCTGCAGGAGATGGATTGCTGGCAGGTCCAACGCATGGCATTTCTCATCAGGACGGCAGGGGTGGCCAGCACAAACCCAGTGCTCTGTGGGTCCCTGCATCTGCCATGCAGGCTCCTACCAGGTCTTGGATGGCATCAGGCACCCTCCGCCCCAGCTCTGGGTAGTTTAAGCTCCGTTTAAGGTTCCAAACTGCAAAAGAACCCAAAGGGCGCTGACCTGGAGATCATAGAGGATGTCCCTGAGTTGTGATCCGGGGACCTTCAGCCCCACCCTCCCTACCTCCTGCAGCCACTTGCCAGGCATTGGGGTGGTGGGGAGGGTGGACGGGGCTTTTCCAGCAGGGTTCACGGGTCTGGAACCTGGGCCCCGGCTTCCGTCAGGAGCATCCGCCTTCGGCAGAGGGCCAGGGCAGGTGGCCTCGGCTCCGCCGTCCCCGGTCGCGGCCATCCTGACTCCCGCACACGCGGTGCCCGGCGTTCGCAGTGACAGAAGGCAGAGCAGCGTGAGCCGCGCCAGCTCGCTTCCCAGCTCCAAATCACCGTCGGGGCGCACGGAGACGGCGCCGGTTTCCTCTGAAAGGTAAGGAGACAGGAGGCCTCAGAATGAGCCACACGGTTCAGCAGAGCCGCCCCACCCCGCCCCGCGTGGAGCACAGGCCTCGCGCTTGCGGCCTGATGGTGCAGAGGAGCCTGCGGGACAGCTTTAATGGTGAGAGCGAACGTGCCTGGTTCCGCTCGTGATAAAGAGGGGCGCTCCCTCTGGGCGTGCCTCCGTCCCCGGGTCATTACGTGCTCAAGGTCACTTCCACGGGGGCTCTAAGAGCAGGAAGCAGAGCTCAGGCCCGTCCCTGTCTGCAGTCCACTGTCCTCAAGGTCGGTTTACAAGGTCTGGCGTGGACCTTGATCCTAAAGGTTTGTGGGGGAGTAAGATGACAAAGGCCAGTGACCTCAGAGCTGATTCTTCCTTTGCTGTAAATATTTTCCTTTAGAGTCTAGTTTTCTCTCTTTTGGAACTGTTGAGGAGAAAGAGAGATCATGGGGGAAGGGAGGTGGGAAGTCACAGAGGAAGTCAATGGAGTTCAGAGTAAGGGATGCTGTGAGACCTGTTTCCGCTCCTGCCTGAACGAGCTTTACTGCTTGAAGACCTAAGCACCGTCGCAGGTTAGGTAGCGTTGCCCACCTGGGAAGCCCCAGGCCCGCCCCAGGAGATGGATGTGGAAGTCTCAAGCTCATGGACTCCCCGGTGAGATCCCCAGACACTCAGGATGTGGTGTTCTTGCCTTGTCTCCGTCCTTGACCTTCACATGAAAGTTAATGCAGTAAAGACCAGAGACTTAGGACTTCTGGGACGGTCCAGTAGCTAAGACTCTGCTCTCCCAACGCAGGGGGCCCAGGGGTCAATTCCTGGTCGGGGAACTAGATCCTACGTGCCACAATGAAACGTTCACGTGTGGCAACTAAGAGCTGGCACAGCTGAATAAATAATAAAAATAAATAAATACTGGGGGAGGGGGAGGAAGACCAGCATCTTCCTGCAGAGACCAGTTTCCCTTAGTCCAGTCTAGTTTCTCAAATGTCCTACCCATGGAGCCTCTCACCACAGAACGGCTCAGGGCGTTCGAGGTGCCACACGGACCTCAGCCCTCAAAGCTCCCCTCCCCGCGCAGCACCCCTGCTTTCCAGTGGGCAAGTTTCTCCCTCAAGGGCCTCGAGGACCCATGATTCGGGAAGGTCCCCCTTCAGCCACCAGGCATGCTGCCCCTGGAGCCCTAACTTTATCAGCTGCAAGAAGATCCAACCAGTCCATCCTAGAGGAAATCAGTCTTGAATATTCATTGGAAGGACTGATGCTGAAGCTGAAGCTCAGATACTTTGGCTACCTGATACAAAGAACGGGCTCATTAGAAAAGATCCTGATGCTGGGAAAGATTGAGAGCAAAAGAAGTGAGCGATAGAGGATGAGATGTTTAGATAGCATCACTGACTCAGCGGACATGACTTTGAGCAAATTCTGGGAGAGAGTGGAGGACAGGGGAGCCTGACACATAGTCCATGGGGGTTACAGAGTTGGACACAACCTGGCAACTGAAGAGCAACACCAGCTGAATTGTCTACATTTTTCTCTGTTTCTATTTTAGTAACTTCATTCATTCTTAGTGGTGTGATACTCCTCAAAAATGGATAAAAATTGGTTCCCAAGGCAAAGCAAAAGCCTTACCCTTCTCATCTGCAAAGCACAAATACCCTTATAACACATCAACAGATATACTGTATACCTCTAGCATTAATTTTTTTGCGGGTAGGAATTACAGAGTCTAAAAGCCTCATTTAAAAAGCAGTGATAAAAAAAATAAGATAGAAAAGAACTTTTCCACTTTATCCATCAAACTATGAGCAAAGTGTATCTAACTCTCCTTGTAAATATAGCCCGCATGCTTTTTGTGTGTATATGTACACACACATACACACACATCACTTTTATGTTTAGCTGCTACCTTGTTCCCTGTGTGATACAGTAGGTCCTTGCTGGTTATCTGTTTGATATACAGCAGTGTGTGCATGTTCACTCCATTGCACTTAACACTAATAATTTTGCTTTGACTGGGTTTGATTTCAGTGTCATGTACTGGCCTGTATCTTTATTTTTCGATCCTCCCTCATCACTTGATTTTTTTTTAAGACTTTCTTGCCAACAACAGAGTTGGATTTCATGACCACCACTTCCTGAGTTTTGATGTAGATGCCGAACCCACTGGCAAAGAGCTTGATAATTGGGAGTCTGCGCTGGGGACTTTTAAATTCTTCATTTCATTCCATCATTTCTCTCCTGTAAGGTCTGTGCTTCTCTAGTTCAAGCGTCTTTAGCTATCGTGCATGTTGCAGACATCTCTCATTATCTTGGTACGTTCAGACGTGATTTTACACGTCGCACATTTGATTGCGACTCTTCGTCTTCTCCTATCTTGAAATTCCTGATTCAGTTGTCATTTGGTATGCTCCTTTCTGGGGCTTCCCAGGTGGCGCAGCGGTAACGAACCCGCCTGCAATGCAGGAGATGCAAGTCCGATCCCTGGGTTGGGAAGATCCCCTGAAGGAGGAAATGGCAGCCCACTCCAGTATGCTTACCTGGAGAATCCCATGGACAGAGGGGTCCACGGGGTCACAAAAGCGTTGGCCATGACTGAAGCAGCTTAGCATACACAAGCCCCCCCACCGAGTCCCTTCCTTACAGAGCAAACACATGAGCTCCTCTGCTCTCGGGACCTCACCTGTTCAGAACCATCTTCCTTTGTCCTGAAAGATGAGCACTCTCTCATCCGAGGGTCCAGATGTCTTGCCTCCTGCCTTCTGCTCCACGGTTCCTCCGCCTCTGCCTCTAGGTCTGCAGAGGAGAAGTCTGGAGCTGCTTCAGTGCCCTTTCCCCCAGAAGAAAGGTCCAATTTCTGTCTTAAAATTGCTGCAGCTTTTTGAGGATACAATTAAACAGTAACAGTGAAAATTTAAAGTTTTAAAATTTAGTTATTCTGTATAACCTAGCATTCTGGTTTGGGAAAATTTTTATATAAAAGTAATGAAAGTAATGAGAGTGAAAGCACAACCCTGTGACGCTATGTGCTGAGGAAATGCTTGTTCAGAACTGACTCAGGGAGCTCCCTGGTGGTCCACGAGTCAGGGCTCTGTGCTCCCCCTGCAGGGGCACAGGTTGGAGCCCTGGCCAGGGAACTAAAATCCTGCAGGCTGCTCGTGGCCAGGAAAGAAAAGAATTGACTCAAATGTTGCCCAGCAGTGGCATATTGATATTATAAACCATTATGTAGCCTTGGTAAAGCAGCATTGTCCCCCCTACATACCGGCATGTGGGCTGGCTAGGATGTACGCTGTGTAGGAAGCAGGGGATTGGGGGCCATGCATTTGTGCTCGCGGGCTGTGTAGGGAAACTCGCTACCTTGGTGTGTGGGTGCTGTGCCAGCTGGGGGAGGGGGTGGGAGGGGGTGGGAGGGGGCCCAGCCGGTGTGGCTGACGGGCTGGAGGCTAGCGGGAGACTGGGTCCTTCCTTTATGGGCCTTTGAGCAGCTCCAGTTGTCATGATGAACGTATTTATAGTACAGTTTAAAGAAACAGAGTAAAACAAACCTGAAGGAAATAAAATCCACTTTAACCAAGTCGCAATGCGGCACCCGAAAGCTGTCACGCCAGCATTAGCCCGGAGCTTCGCAGATCCTGCAGGATCATTCACAGCTGCCTCCCAGCTGCAGCCCGAACCCGCGGGCCTGTCCACGTCCCTGCCCACCAGCCTTCTCCTCACTCAAGTGTGGCTGCAACTCACCTTCTCCTTACACCTAGTTTCACAAGCCGCCTGATTTCTGCCTTCTTGGAAAACGTCAGAAAAGTTCATCCATGTGTTTCAAGTGGCAATGAATCCCAGATTACCTTGAGTTGTTTGTCTGGTTTAGACAACTATCTCCAGATTATATCTGATAAGAATTCTCATATGTCAAGAATTTTCTTCTTCAACTGTGATATAGGTTCACGAAGGTAGGGGCTGTGTGTTTTAAAAATATCATACCCATGATAATGCATCACAGATAATGGAAATCAATAGAAAGATTGATTGGTAGCTATTTGATGATCTGCTGGAAAACTAGACCAGATAGCAGGGTCTTACACTACAAGCTTTTATGCCTTCAGGACATTCTTAGAACATGATTCCTGTGCTATTGTATTGGGCAGCATTCAACAACAGTGTCACTGTCTGCTTCTCTTTCATTTCCAGCTTCAAAATATACTCCATACCATGTCAAACAGACACAGTTATGAATAACTTGCATGGATATCAAACCAGTCAATCCTAAAGGATTCAACCCTGAATATTCATTGGGAGGACTGATGCTGAAGCTAGAATTCCAATACTTTGGCCACCTGGTGCGAAGAACCGACTCACTGGAAAAGACCCCGATGCTGGGAAAGATTGAAGACGAAAGGACAAGCCATGGCAGAGGATGAGACAGTTAGATAGCGTCACCGGCTCAGTGGACATGAATTTGAGCAAACTCTGGGAAATAGTGGGCAGAGGAGCCTGGAGTGTTGCAATCCATGGAGTCATGAAGAGTCAGACACAACTTAGCAACTGAAAAACAACATGAACAACTGTCAGCATGCTAAAAACATAGATTTTTTTAAATTAAAAAGATTTTTCAACTTTTATGATTAAATTGTCATTGCACAGAGAAGTAAAACTGCAATTTGGAAAAACTGTTTCCAAATAATAAAAAATCCCCAAGCCACATTACTGAGTTTATTGCCTAAGCACAGAATTGGTTGGTATTTTGTTTTTTTCCCTTGCATTATCTGTAACTTAGAAAGATCATGTTAAATCCTTGGATTTAAACACAAGAGAAGTGAATAAATCAGCAATATATAAACAAACTAGCAAAGCAAACAGCAAAGGACCAAAAATACCACTTTCTCTAGAATTCTTTGTCACATGAAATGGATACTTTGTTTTCAGGCCAATGGATGACTCCAGTTGCCTCTAATGTATCTGCTTTATATGTCCTTCTGTAGTATGATTCTCTCATTCCTGATTTTATACATGACTTTTCTAACAGATGTAGAATATGTTCAAGTATCTGTTTTATGCAGAGTACACAGGTGGCATGCTTTCTGAGGCTTTTCACTGAGAACATCTCCCATCCTAGAAGACGATGGCAAAGACAACGAAATTGGGGACCCCACCGGTCTTCTGGATCCCAAATGACTTCCTGACCATTCATCACCGACGACCGCAGAGCAGAAGTCTACAGCGAGTTGAATTTCTTACTATTTTTTTTTTCTTAAAAATGCCTGCAAGTGTGTGTGTGTGTGTGTGTGTGTGTATATATATATATATATATATTTTTTTAATTTAGGGGTTTCAGAAATTGCCACAATCTAAGGGTTCTCCTTGATGTCTGAGTACTCGAGTTCAGTAGCCCCCAACCTCTTTCCTTGCATCTAACAAGAGAAAGAATTTTATCAAGAAGGAATAAAAGGAACCACGCGTAGCTTTACTTTTTCTTTCTACTCTGCTTTCCCTTCCCCCACTTTAAAAGCTCTCCTTCTAGAATCACTCTCCCTAACCCCTAGACCACAAGGAGTGAGTCACTGTGGGGGTCCCCTCGGTGGCCTGGCAGGACACCCCACTCTCTGCCTGCATATGAAGCTGATGTGCCAGCCTGTGAGAACTCAGCATCCTCCCAGAAGCTGTGGCCGTTCCTTCCGGATGTGGACGGTAATGTGCCCTAACAAGTAAAGTCCCTGCTTCTTCCCAGGGCAGACAGGCCTCAAGAATTTGAGCCAAGATTGCTGCAAACCTCTGCACATTGGTCAGGATAGAAGGATAGCATCATTAAATTATTTTTCAAGTATCAGTTCTCTGTCAGGGTTTAGCCTATCACCAGGTTTCATCTAAAGGTCTTAAAGCTTTCCTTTGTGGTTAATGGCTTGTCCTACTAAGCGTGCTAGTCCCCGCAGCTCCCCCGAATCCTGTCCCCACTGTGTCTATACAAAACGCTCTATCTGGGTCAAAGACAGGTCCACACTGCGAGTGCTCACGGACCCCGAGGTCCCCTCCGGATTCTAGGTAGACGTGCCCTCCTGAAAAGTCATTCTTGAGAGGTCCCATAGGATAGATGCTGAGATATGATTTTGAAGCCAACCGATGCAGCTTCTGCAGTAAAGTCTCTTAGAAATGCCTTCAACAGAAACACAAAGGGGTTTTATGGCAGCCCACGCAGCCTGATGATTGAGCAGCAATTATATTAATAACGGATGAAACGTTCTGACAGCCAGTGAGGGATGAGGCTGATGGTTGCCCTCACCCCAAAATCTCAGTGGGTTAAATGAGCAAACTTTATTTTCTCATTCATTCACCCCATGTCTGTGTGACGGTTTTCTCTCTCATCCGTCACACGCGCTTGTGGATGGTTGGTGGTGTGCGGTGGGGCACACGTTCTGCCCACCCTGGGCCGTGCAGGCCGATGGAGCCGCCCGCTGCACATGAGCTGCCTTTGAGGCGGGTGAGGGGGGCGTGGTGTCTCACACTTGGGCTCTGAGAAGGTCCGTGCGGCAGAGACTCTCAGCTGCACTCAGCCAGGGCACGCCCCTGACGCAGCGGGTCAGGGAGGCGATGCCCCAGGAGTGGGTCCCTAAGGACAGTGAGAATGCTTAATGACAAACAGCTCAGTGGTACGAGAGCAACCACCTCCCAAGACCTGGTAGAATCAGTCCTACAGTCGGGACAAATAAACGAGGGAGGTGCAGAGATCACAAAACGGAAAGCATAAGGCAAGAACGTTAGCAGCATCAGAAAAAGGCAATGAAACCAAAGATGATTTCACAATAGGACATCTATTTTAGCCAGCTTTTTTATTAAATAAAAAAAAATGTAACTTTTTCATTCATTCTACTTGATAGACATCTGTGGTTTTAAATGCTTATGTCTTTTTAATTAAATATAAAGTTTGGTGATAAACATTTTTGCAAGTCATGATTTCCCAAATGTTGCCTTTAGAAACCAAGTTCATGAACTACCTGCCCCTTGGATGCCTTTATCTGCTCTGGCTTTCCTAAATGGCACTCAAAAATGCTGTTTGCTTTGATTACAGGTTAAGTGGTATGCAATGGAAATCTGCTAATTAAGTTAGGATATCAGACTAACAGGATATGAGAATTAATCTGTATTCTACAAAGGTCTGACTCTAAGGTGCTCCTGTGTTCGTACAACATGATTAGCTCCATTTGTCGTTCAGTCTCTGAGTCACGCTGGACCCCATGCAGCAGCAGGCTCCTCTGTCTTCTACTATCTACTGGAGTTTGCTCAAACTCATATCTGTTGAATCAGTGATGCTATCTAACTGTCTCATCCTCTGCTTCCTCCTTTTCTTTTTGCCTTCAATCTTTCCCGGCATCAGGGCCTTTTCCAATGAGTCGGCTCTTCACATCAGGTGACCAAAGTATTGGAGTTTTGGCTTCAGCATCAGTCCTTCCAATAAATATTGATTTCCTTTAGAATGAAATAGAAGTAGGTGTTTTTCTGGAACTCCCTTGCTTTCTGCATTATCCAATGGATGTTGGCAGTTTGATCTCTGGTTCCTTTGCCTTTTCTAAACCCAGCTTGTACATCTGAAAGTTCTCAGTTCACACACTGCCAAAGCCTAGCTTGAAAGATTTTGAGCTTAACCTTACTAGCATGAGTGTTAGTGTATGGTAGTTTGAACATTCTTTGGCATTGCCCCTCTTTGGGATTGAAATGAAAATTGTCCTTTTCCAGTCCTGTGGCCACTGCTGAAGTTTCCAGATTTGCTGGCATATTGAGTGCAGCACTTTCACAGCATCTTCTGTTAGGATGTGAGATAGCTCAGCTGGAATTCCATCACCTCCACTAGCTTTGTTCGTAGTGACGCTTCCTAAGGCCCACTTGACTTTGCAATCCATATGGATGGTATCCACATATCACTCAAATCTGTGTGGGAACAAACCACCTCACCATGGGCAAAAGCAGGCTGTACAGCTTGTCTCCCGCATACAAACCTGAGAACGTCTGGGGAGAGTTCTGACAAGGAGCCGCCCCACGTGGGTGGTGACACACAGCATGGCTAAATGGCTTTGAACTTGGCAGAAGAAAGAAGGGCAGTTTCAGACCAGGGCGGCTGACAGGTGCTTTGATTCAGAGGGACACGGGTTCCGGCTGCAGTGGCAAGTGGCATCACTGACACCCAGGAAGCTTGGTGGAATGAATTGCTCTGTGGCTTCAGAGAGGACTGCTGATGTTGACCCAAGCCCTGGGGTCTCTTCCATCACACTAGGTAATTTTTTAAAGACTAAAACCACCTTTTATGATCGCGTGTAGGTAATGGGGGGGGAGGGGAGCTGTCCTCTTTTTTATGGTTGGGGCCACAGGGTTGGATGAGCTTCCCTCAAAAGCGGACCATTCTTTCCTGAGACAAACACGATGCAGGAGAGGCAGCCGAACTCAGCCTCAGCCTCTGGGCAGAGCGAGAAAAATGTGCCTCTGAGGGGCTTCCCTGGTGGCTCAGATGGGAAAGCGCCTGTCTGCAATGCGGGAGACCTGGGTTCGAGCCCTGGGTGGGGAAGATCCCCTGGAGAAAGAAATGGCAACCCACTCCAGTACTATTGCCTGGAAAATCCCATGGACAGAGGAGCCTGGTAGGCTACACTCTATGTGGTCTCAAGGAGTCAGACCCAACTGAGCGACTAGGAAGAGTCTAAAAGAGGAGTGAAGGGGCCGACGTGTCAGAGGACACCCCAAGGGCGCTGCGAGTCCCGGGAAGAAGGCGACCCGTTGAACTCATGCGGCGGGCCAGGAGGCGGTGGTGCAAAGCCCAAGGAGACCAGTGGCCAGGACAGTCCCGCCGCAGCTGCGACCTGAACGCGGCCCAGCAGGAATCCCGAGTCCACTGAGACGCCATCACGTTATGATCGGGGACACTCAGGTCAGTGACGACCCTCCTTTTCAAGCATCCGAAGAGAAGAAGTTGCAACGCCGCTGCCGAGACGTCAGAGGCAGGCGGCGTGGATCTCTGGTGGACTCACTCCGGGATGGTCTCGCGGGGAAGCGGAGCTTGGAGGGCATGAATCTCTGCAAACAAGCCCTGCTGGAAGGCACTGACAGAGCCCGGGCCGAGGGCACCCACGCTTCCCTGGCTCCCGGTCAGCCGTGCCCACGCTCGGCTCCCGAGAGTGTTCCCAGCCCTGGGTCTCTGAGTCACTTCCTCCCTCAAGCTCATCTCTCTGTTCATGTCAGTGTGAGATTACCCACGTTCATTCTCGCCTCCACATTTCTTCTCACCTGGGAGTGAGTGGAGGCGTGCTCACCTGCAGGCCTCTGTTCTCCCCTCCAGGCCCTTAAAAACTGCCTCTAACACTCACTTAGCAAGCGTTTGGGTGAGTTTCCCAAGAAGCAGTCACTTATTTCCACTCCTGGAGACGATCTCAAAGATATGCTGTCAGCACGTGAGACAGAGCGGCCTCCCTGGTACAAGGTCACGCCCAGACCTTCCCAGACCCGGGGCTCATCACCACCAAGGAGGACGGGAAGATGGAGACCCATCCACGGCTGGGGAAACTGGGGCATTCCAGAGGGCAGGAGTCCTATTTCCCAACGACAGGGCCACTTCAAACTCCAGGTCGGCTCAACAGGAAGCTAAAAGTCGTGTTTGGCATTAGAATTAGTTAGCTCGGAAGTTTGCTTTTTCATACCGGACTCTAGACGCTGCTAATATGACACCAGGAGAAAGTTCAGGAACTGACGTTGGTTCGATGTCACTGCTGTGAATTTTATTTGCCTAAAAAGAGTGGGAAATGCCCCTGAAGTCCTCCCAGGGAGGACCGATGGGCCGCCCCGACTCTGAGAGCTTGGTGGGCACAGGCAGGGGAAGAGGCTTCACAGCCGCCGAACAGACCCTTCACCCAAGGGCCCCCCGGACACCGCACTCGGAGGCCTGTGGTCTCGGCCAGTGGACCGTTCAGCCAGCCCATGGACTTCATCCCAGTGCCCTCGGAGGCTTCTGCCCCCCTCACCCTGCCTGGAAGGCTGGGGGACCCTCGGCAGGGCTGGACTGGGGGGCGGACAGGAGCGGCGATCCGGCCGGCTGCGGGCAGGGCAGACCAGGAGCCAGGGGCCTCCCGGGCCCACCGCTGAGGCGTGCGAGCTGCAATCCTGCAGCACCCAGAGGCCGAAGGAGGCCCCCCGACCGAGGGGGCAGAGCCCAGGCTGTGGGGCACCGGAGCCCCCAGCACAGCTCGGAGGGCCTGCCCTGGGGGGCCCGGGCCTGGTCCAGGTCTCAGAGGGCCCCTCACACTCTTGAGTCAGAGCCTGAGTCACTGCACCGCCCGCCCTTCGGCAGGGTAGACCCCTGCAGAGGCTCAGATGGTGGGGGTGCACTCAAGTACTGCCTGCAGACCCCAGCCCAGGTGGGCCTCCACCCCAAGTGGGCCTCTGCCCCAGGAGGGCCCCGTTCCAGATGAGCCTCCATCCTAAATGGGCCTCCACCCCAGATGAGCCTTTGCCCCAAGTGGGCCTCCACCCTAGGTGGGCCTCCATCCTAGACGGGTCTCCTCTGCTACATGAGGCAGGAGGGAGAGAGATCCTGTGGCATTTCCCTGGAATCCAGCCAATCCAATCCTTTATGCAAGGCCTTCTTCCTGAAAGCCTGGCAGGGAGAAGGGACATGGGGGGAGGGGCCGTCTCGCCCCCGGTAGGCGAGCCGGTCGGTGAAACTCAGCGCCTTGAAGCTGATCCTGCCATGCAAACACAGTCATCGAGCTGCTGTCTTGCGGGTTTCACCCAAGATGGTGACAAGTGTCTGGGATGTCCCTCTGCCTGGCACTCAGGTCTATAAATAGAAGTAGAATCTAAACTTGCTTTGTTTAGCCTGTTAATGCAGAGCCTTTGGGGATGTTCATAGAATTTTCAGTGGAAAGGGGAGACCACCACTTTGGAGAATTCGGTGGACCTGACCCACTGTTCTGGATGCTTCTGTACAAAACTTCTCACATAACTTCTCACAGCCCTGGAGGGGGCATGGGTCTCTCTACTTGGAGGAGGGGGGCAATAAGGCTGAAAGGCAAGGACTAAATTTCCTACAGGGCCGCCCAATGTCTCCCCTTCCACGAGGTCCTGGGTGCAGTTATCTCTTGGATTCTAGACCCAAGCATCCCTCAGCCATTCAAGGTTCCCATAAAACTAGCTGAGTCCCCGAAGTTCTGAGTGGTCTCCATCCAGGGCTCTGACAAAGAAGCCACCCCTGAGGCTCAGCGGGCAGGATTCTTCCCACGGGGTAACTCACATGGAGGAGAGCTGGAAGGAAAGCAAACCAACCGATCTGTGGGGCTGAGATTCCAGCTCCTTCTGCTTTGCTGATTTTGTACTTGTCAGAGTTATAGAAAATTCTTCTAAATGGGCTTTAAAAAAATACTGTTTCTTTGGGAGCGGGGCGAAGGTGCGGCTGGCCAGCCCTGGGCCATCAGCTGTTTGCCCCGCAGCCCTGCCCCACCCCAGGTGGGGAGGGCACATCCGAGGGCCCCTCGCCCCCCACCCCTGCACCTGAGTCATGCTCCCCTCCCACTGCGTTCATTGTGTTACCTGGGCTGGATCCACTCCAGACTTCCAAATTTAGCAATCCTCTGCTGAGACACGGCTTCTTGGAGTCCTCGCCATATCTTAAAGATGAAAAAAAAAAAAAAGAGCTCAGCCCATTAAACACGATCTGATGGCTATCTGCAGCTTGAGCGATGTAGCTGACAGCTCAGAATGAAAGAAGATACACGAGGCCCCATGATTGCGCACACAGAGCGCACTCAGTACAAACAAGGACAGTAGATTACATCTTTCCAGTAAACCGGAGGCTCGGCCCTCGACCACCACCGGCCGCGAACTGGCCAGGGCCTCCCTAATAACCCGGCTAACAAGGGGGCACTGGGGGCGGGGGGCCAGGAACCCCTCATGAGAAACCGCGCGGGTCAGGTGCATGCTGCCTGCCCAGCTGAGACTGCCGTTTAATAATCTAATCTGTTATCCCAACATGGTTTGTAGGAACAGTAGACTGCACCCAGATTTTAAAGGATGAAGAAGACCTCCACTGTTTTAGACCTCCACATCCACTGGGTGATGTGAGTGGGGTGCCCTGAGTGGCCCCCGGTCTTCTCTCTGTTCTGAAAATATCATAACCGGGGAGCGAAGGAGCAGGGAAGGTGGGCTTGCGGCCTGCCACCTAAGTGCCCAAGAAGGCCTGGGCAGAATTTGCTCTTCTCCAGAAAGCTACTGGTTGTGGGCAGGCTGGATTTGCTCTTGGGGTAAAGTTCCTTCTTAATGAGCTGCAATTCTTGCTCAACAGCCAGCCCCCACCCCAGGCACTTCTCATCAAGATGATAACATCAACCCAGGTGCCGTGCAGTCTTAAAAAGTCATAAATCTTCACCCGTCACCTAAGGGAACCAGAGGAAAAAAGGTGAAACAAGTTTGCAAAGAACCTTTCCCAGGTGTTATTTTGCAAGTCGAGAGCTAATTGATGGTTCTGCCACAATAGCTACAAGTGATAAAGATCGTGTAAACACTCCCCACTGGAGGCACATCGGGGAGTCCCGGGGGTGTGCAGCCGCCAGATGGAGCCCTGCATCCTGCCAGCTAACACCCCTGCCTGGCCTGCTGGCTCGGAAGCCCGGGTACCACCAGAGTCCAGGTGAGGAAGGTCCCCGCGAGGGACAGAAATCGAGGCAAAAGGATGGTTGGGGAGAGTGGGCAGGTGCCGTCAAAGGCAAGGCTCTCCAAGACGACCAGTTTGCTAAGAAAGAGTGTGAAGGAGCTTGAATTTGCTCTTAGGATCCCATCTTTGCCTCCCCTCCTCCGCCGCCTCCGCCCCAACGCACACACTCCAGCTTCTAAAGGGCATAAGATCCATTTTAAAGCTAGTAACTCTCTTTGCAAAATGAGGAAGGGGAGGAAAGCTAACCCATAGTACCCCACCTCCACCCCCACAGCCTTGGGGCTGCGCCGTAATGGGATTCTGGGGGCGAGGGTGGGAGAGGGGTGATAAAGCCCAGTGAGAATTGCCACACAGAAGCACAAAGCCCATTTACGTTTCCATTGGCTTCACAAGAAAAAAATGTGGAGTTTTCCTCATTTTTGCCATCGCTGACAAATTAGCATTTGCCTGAGCAAAGACCATCATGTTTATGTCCATGGTATCACCCCCGACTCAGAGGGAGTCCAGAGCATCAGAAAAACTTAAAAAAAAAATTACTGATGATAACATTTTCATTTGCTTCTTTATATCCCGTAGCCTGGTTTTTAACTGCATTTGCTTGGGGATTTTTTTCTTATGAAAATAGTATTATGTGTGACGTTCAGGCTTCCATAAAAATGATGAGAGCCACAGTGTCTTTGATGATATGTATTTGGAACCTATAAATAACACCAATATAAATAAGCCCTGAAGCAACAATGGGCAGAAGGAAGTCATGTCAGATGCCATGCCAGGCTCACCCCGTTGCCTTTCTGTTTCACCACCTGAAAGTTCAGGAGCAAACCACTGCTGACTCCAGAAGGATGGGGCAGGGGTGGGGGGCACGCCTAGGTCCACACCTAGCGGGACAGACCCTATTCCACCCAAGAGGGCACAGACCCCCAGGACCACACCAGCTCCCAGCATGGCCTGCTGACTCGAATTCCAGCCAGGGAGTGAGAGAAAAAGCAAGCTGCGGATGGAAACGCCTCTGGCCCCCACCCTCCCTCTATGTTGCCTCTGGGATTCAGCGTCAGTGCGTCAGAAGAAGCGCGCTCTGTCAGCCCTTGCTCCGCACGCCTAGTGTGAACTCCCGAAAACAGGGCGTAAAAGTTCTGAGTATTTTTAAAGGATTAAATTGCATCTTGTTTGTGTATTCTCCTTCTCTGAATGGCAGAGCCCTGGATACACGCGCTGGGCATTTTCACAGCACCAGCCTGGATTTGGAACGACTCACTCCCGGAGAGCTGGCACTCCGATGGGAGCAGAAAGCCGACATCGCGGGCCCAGCTCATGAAACTTTTGGGTCAAATCTAGGCGATGCCTTCCCTAGGGGTCGCCAAGTCCCTGGTGGCTCAGATGACCTAACCCTAACCCCTAACCCTAACCCTAACCCCTAACCCTAACCCCAACCCTAACCCGCTGCAGAGCAGAAGACCTGGGTTCGATCCCTGGGTCGGGAAGATCCCCTGGAGGAGGGCATGGCAACCCACTCCAGTGTTCCTGCCTGGAGAATTCCATGGACAGAGGGGCCTCTTGGGTACACAGAGTCACAAAGAGTCAGAGACAACTGAGCGACTAACACACCGGACAAGCCAAGGCCAGGCCATCCTAGCCGCTGGCAGATGACAATCTGAAATAAAACGTACACAGTCCTTCCAATTCTCTCCTTAAAAAAGCAAAATAAATACCCCTGCCCCACCCTGAGGCAAATGGATCTGGCCAAATACAGGCCTCCCTTAGTAAAGGTATCCCCGGGATAAAGTGAATTATCATCACAGAGACCACTTCTGGGCAGGGCTGGGGGACATGTCCAGACGTGTTCACTTCAGTCGCTCAGCCATGTCTGACTCTTTGCGACCCCATGGACTGCAGCACGCCAGGCCTCCCTGTCCATCACCGACTCCCTGAGCTTACTCAAACCCATGTCCATTGAGTCGGTGATGCCATCCAACCATCTCATCCTCTCGTCCCCTTCTCCTCCTGCCTTCAATCCCTCCCAGCATCAGGGTCTTTTCCAGTGAGTCAGCTCTCGTATCAGGTGGCCAAAGGATTGGAGTTTCAGCTTCAGCATCAGTCCTTCCAATGAATATTCAGGACTGATCTCCTTTAGGATGGACTGGTTGAATCTCCTTGCAGTCCAAGGGACTCCCAAGAGTCTTTCAACACCACAGCCCAAAAGCATCAATTCTTTGGAGCTCAGCTTTCTTTATAGTCCGACTCTCACATCCACACATGACCACTGAAAACTCCCTAGCTTTGACTGGACGGATGGTTTTCACGTAAATGAATGGCTTTTGGGAGCAGACTCTGCCCGGAAATCATGCACGGTGTGGCCCGAGGCTTCTGAGCTGTGGGCCTGTGCCACCCCAGCTGTGGAGGCTCAGACTCCTGCCCCGGGAGGAAGGTGGGTACCAGGCGCCTCCCCATCACTCAGCAGCCCGAGTCTAGGAGATGCCCCCGGCCTGGACGCCTCGCCGACCCCCACCAGGGGCATCCGGAGGGGAGGCTCAGCTCTGGAGGTGGGTCCCTGCAGCAGCTGCCCCAGGATGCGGGCTGGCGGCCGCCCTGTGCCTGCCTTGCTCCTGCATTAGTCAGACCTGCCTTTTTTTTGTTTAACTTAATAGAGTTAATTTAAAACAACTTTGTCACTGCTGTAATCGGGATCATTTGCTGTTTCTAAATACAGGCCTATTTAAAAGAAACAACCCTCTTAAATTCTAAAATGAATTTTCTAAAACTTGAGCATAATTTACAAGGATTAGTAAATCTGAACCATTTCTTAGACGTGCCTCCTGGAGGGACGCGGGCTTCCATAGGGGAGGGTTGTAACTGTTTATGAGCAGTTCTGATGTAGGCGGGGCCCGATGTCCAGGTCAGCTGGAGCTGTTCTGTGCTGAAGAAGCAGCCCCAGGAGTCCTTGTTCAGGGTGTTTCTCCTGCCCTGCTCGTGGTGGAGAATCAGGGGGCAGTGGGTTTTCTGCAGAAGCACACTGGCCCCTCACAGGGATGGTCTTGACTGCAGACCCTCTCTTTTTCCTGGAAGAAGGTGTTCTCAGGGGCCCTGCGGAGCCTCCTGACTGCCCTCAACATCAGTCCTGACCCCAGCCCTGAATCTGGGTGCAGTTTGCAGGCTTGCAGGAATTCACAGCCGCCTCCTCCAATACTCCATGCAATCCCCAAACAGGGGGCAAGTGAGAAGCGCAAATATTTTTTCTAACAATAAGAGATGAATTTCTCTCACCCTTCCCTTGACCCCTCCCGCTCCTCCCCTCCCCTCCTCCCCTCCCCCCCCCCTCCTCTTCCTCTTCCTCTCCCGCTCCTCCCCCCTTCCCCACAAAGGCCACCTCTCTCCAAAGAGTCTCACAGGTGACCACCTCGTCCTGCCGGGAGGGAACTCCTGCTGCGAGGGGGACTGCTGACCCCTCCCGTGACCCCCTCTTGGCCTGCCCACCTGGGCCAGGCCCACGGACACTGCAGTCCAAAGAGCAAACTGCAAAAGGGGGCCTCTCCTCGGCACGCTTAGCAGAGCTTGTCAGGCCAGCGTGCTTCGAAGGATCATCCAAACGCATTTAAAATGCAGGAACAGCAGAACCTCGGGTTTGATAACTGTTAAGAGAGCCAAAAGAGTTACATTTAAAATAGATCATTTGGCCACATTCAACAAAGTCAGAGCCTGCAAACGGTTCTGAATGGTCTGGGCATGCAGGGACCTCCTCTAACTGGCTGGTGAGCAGAGACTGTTGATGAGTGTGGCCAACCCACCCGCTGTGTTAGGAAAACCGGGCGTTCCAGGGCTGGGCCCTCAAAGGGCAGACAGGCAGGCAGGCCCCAGCCCAGGCTCTGCTGCATCGCACTGGTGGGCAGCTTCCCTGAGTCTGCGCTCACTCACATCCTGGTATTCACACACCATGGACAAGTGGGCAGGTTTTTGCTGCCT